GACTAAAAATCATGAAAAGGTTAAAAGACTTTAATGATAAACCACTTATCCAGTATGAGCCCAACCCTACTCATAATCTTAACCCCACAAACTGACATACTATGGGCAATTTGTGAGATGCTAATTCCGCAATTGATTGTTTCTTAGACCACATGAGGACGCCACTGTACCCAGAGAAAACCCACACGATACACAGAGAATTCCATTAATTAACACATAAATGAGCACATTTGGAGAATCTGACCAAACCGAGTTTCCATCTCCACAGGTCAACTGGAAAGAGAGTGTGCAGGGAATGCAGTGATGACTGTTTTTCTGCTTAGCTACTCCGTGGGAAAGAGATACCATTTTTTCCCCTAGTGTCCAGTTCCGGAAGAGGTTTTGAATTGCTGGATGTGTTGCCATGGTAATCAGGCAGATAAAAGCGTTAACCTTGCTTCATGCAATGTAAAAGCCCTTCTTTTAAAAATTTCAGGAAAAATAATATATATACACATTTTATGGCTAACCCAATAAAACCATATTGTGTAGAGAGCTCAAGGGATTCTGGGCAGAATCCAGTTTAGGAAGGTAGTCAAACAGTGGAAATATCCTGTTTACTATAAATGTGGCTTCCAGCGTTTTCATCCATCCATCTTCCAGCCGCTAACCCAGTACAGGATCACAATGATCCTGGAGTCCATCCCAATAGCAGAGGGCACGAGGCAGGGGATATTCTGGAAAAGCATACATTGCAGGGTTCGTACAATCACACGCCGTAGGTTTAGAAACATTTTGCCTAACCACATGTTTTTGGACCGTGGGAGGAACCTGAAGTACTCGAAGGAAAACAGGTGCTGCAATGAGAGTCGCAGGAGGATCGAGGCTGCAGCACCGAGCACGCGCCGCCGCCGCAGCCGCCGCGCTCTCACTATCCTCCGCTAAGAAGCAGCCAGCAGCTGTGGTTTACAGTCGCCGAGCATTCAGGGTTCATCCAGTCATCTATAAATAAGCCCGAATTAGTTAGTATTTAATGTGTGAAGCAACGCCACCCACTTTTTCATTGAATATGAAAGCAAAAATCTAAACTAACTAAAAACTGCACTTTAAATGGAATTTCCTATGAAAAAAAATGTGGGAGTTGAGAAAATGTAGAGAAGTGGAAATTCACGATAAAATTATACAACAGAAAACAATTAAATTCATGTGTGTAATTACCTTACGTAATAAGAATCGCTTTAGATAATGTAGTTTTGGGAGGAGTGAGGATTTGATTTGAGATGCTTTCTTTAACCTTATGGAAAGGAATACAGTGACCAATGGGAAATCGGTGAAAGCAACTTGGGGGCACATGGTCCCACTTACCATGGGAGTGAAAGTCTCATTCTTCTTATCCCTATTAATTAGTTGCGCTATGTTTGTCGCATTGACTGCCACTCTGTTGGCTAGGACAATGCTTTCAATACTGGAGTTCAAAGCTGGATTTGGATTCAGCGATACTGTAGATAACCTGACATCCTTATTTAATGTGGGAATACACACTAAGCCTTTGAATCATACGCTATAAAATCACAAAGGCTGTAAATGACAATATTAAACTCCATATCTTCTCTGGTGTTTCTATGACTGTCTACCACTCCCCGAATTTCATGCAGTCCAAGACAGTAAATCTAAATTAGGAGACCATAGTTATTTTATTTTATTATATATTTTATATCCCATCTGTGTCTTTTTCACTATGATGTCTCCAAATTTGTTTTCAAGCTGTGTGCGAAGAAAGTGTTTTTTTTTTTTCTTTTTTAGATATTTTTGTGATCTATTCATGTGGATCTTTGAATTTCTGTTTTACTAAAGTGATCGATGCCTGTAAATGACTAGTTTCGCCTCCCTAATTATTTCACGTGGACATCCTGGGCCCCGCCCCCCGGCAAGATGCAGAGGACAATGGAAAAATATTTTCCGCTGCACCCTTGTTCAACAGACCATGATTATCATGATCATTAGCACACAGTTTGGAGCTGAAACTTCACGTCAAATCCTAGATGGGTGAGAATAGGGTCTTATGTATCAACCCAAGAGTGAAAAAAGCTGACTGAGCTAAGAATTGATTGAAGTGGTATAGCTTTGGCAGTGCTGGGCATCACAGGTCCAGAATCTACAAATCCAGGCCAAGATTTTGTTTCTACCAACCAGCTGAGCATAAAGAGTCACAGTCACAGAGTACTCAACTGGTTGGTAGGAACAAAATCCTGGTCTGGATTTGACGCTTCTGGACTTGAAATGCCCAACGCTGAGCTCTGGAGATATAAATGGCCATTGAAACAGCGCAGGCTCAGACACAGGTCAAGTTGGCGTATTGGCTGATACTTGCTCTCAGGTGTGTGCAGCAGACAAAGGAGTCTGGAATACCCAGAATTCCTTGACTGCAGCCATAGTAAAACCATAAGGAGATTTCAGCCATGTCAGACCCTCAGGCCTGGGTCTGAAGTCTGAGATGGTGCTGGACGCAGTCCTGCTACAGAGATCTGGTGGCGGCTAAGCTCATCCTACTTTCATGGATCTTTAAAGGACAGAAGACATTTAGATAAGGTCGATAACTGTAAAACTTATACTGTCACATATTTTGTAAATCGAAATATTCAGTGCTTGCTCAATTTCATAAAATCAGCAAACAACCACAATTTCATGTTTTTTTTTTCTATTACCAAGAAATGCAACAAAATCAATTACTTACAGCTGCCAACCCTCCTGTGAGACTCAAGGTTTTTTTTTTTGTATGTTTCAGAGACTCTCGCGGCCGTGAAATGACTTTCTCATGGATTTGTGAGTTGACTGAAATGTAGGAATTACTGTCCCTGATTTTCATGCTGAACTTCTGTTACATTTCCCCTTTTAATGGAAATCATTGTACACACCCCACTCCCCCCAATCCAGTGCAGATTTTCCTTAAGGTGATGTTCAACTCATGCAAGAGTCTCAGCGATGCGTTTCGGCTTTACGCTCTGTGCGTGCACTACATTGATGACTCTACAATTAACTGTCACACAGGTCTATAGTTATTATCGGAATGAAATAATGAAACTGAATCATGAATGCTGGCCATTAACAATGCTCTGGCTCACCTTTACCTAAGCTTTAAAACAGCTTTTTTTCCCCATAGATAAAACAGTGGAGGCCATGCAGAAAAACTGCGCTTTCACGTACAATTGAGGTCCTAAAATGGAGAATAACTGTCAATGGACTGAAGGGCCATTGAAAGAGCTGCAGTGGGGCATTGAAACAGGAAATAGAATGACTGTGTTGTAAGCAGCAAATATTCCGAAATGGGAACTAGAACCAAGAATGAGGGAAGTTCTAGCAAGCGGTGAACACTCACTTTTTGGTTATGGGGGGCACAACTGTGTTACAGTATTTGGTTGGGTGAGGGTGAGATTTAGATTAGGGAAAATCGACATGGAACCAGTCCATGCAATCGCCCCCCCGCCCCCCCCCATATTCTTCAATGTGCTTTTGCATGCACGCGTGTTCATTCGGGACAGCCCCAGTGCCGGCTCACCTCGGAAATCCAGGTTTCAAAGCTGCAACGCACTGTGCCCAGAGAGAGGAAGCGCCAGTAATTAGCGGCACGGCTAAGCCCAGGAGGAGAGCGCTTCGCGCCATGAAAAGAAGTAAGGTGGGCTGGCAGGGGCTCCGCCGGCTGCGTTATCCATAATAATTGTGACGGGATCACTTCAGTGGCCAAAAGGAATTTAATCACAGCGCTACAGAGTGTGCAAAGGAAAAGGAAATCGCTTGTCCGTGGTACTGAAAAATGACCTCAATACAAATATATTCCCAATGCCTTAGATTTCTGGGAGAACTGAGAGCAACGCAGGAACTGTCCCCATCCTTTGATCTACTGTAGAATGTCCAGTTCCGCTGTAGAATGTCCAGTTCTGCCATGGTGTGACCTTCTTGAAAGCAATCCAGCTCAAACTGTCTGTGCCTGTTATCATCCCAATTGATATTTTTTAAATTTAGCCAGTTTGTCATTGATATTACTCCCAAAACATCTCCTGTCTACATCGGTCACATGACTCTTTATATCCATCCCTCCGTTTCCTGTAGCCGCTTGTCCTATTCACGGTTGCGGGGGGTCTGGAGCCTATCCCGCAGACTGCTAGCACAAAGCATGGAACAACCCAGGACAGGGTGACTCTTTATAATTAAATATGTGACAAAAAAACTGTTTTAGGTGGCTGTTCAAATAAAGTTTTGAATTTTGAAATTGTACATCATGAGTCAAAACTCAACTCTATCAGTAGCTTATAACAAGGTAGCAAAACTGGTACAGCAGCTTGTTTGGTGACGGACTACGTGAACATAAGTACAGAAAACAAAAGATAAAAAGCCTCGTAAACAAACATAACACCTTTTTCAAAATAAAGGAAGAGCAGAGGTTTAGGTAGATAATACTCTTTGATAGGAATGCACCTTTTTCTGCAGGGTAAATGTTTAATCATCATCAGAGACCCCTGCTAAAATAGAGTCTCCTCAGGGGGGCTCTGCAAAGAGCTGGAAAATGTGCAAATCCACCAGGATTTTTTTTCCCTTGGAATACAAAAAGTGGGTGCACAAGAGAATTTGTCAAGACTGAGCCATGCTAAAGGTGTGAATATCAATCTTCATGGACAGAACAGTTTTGGAAGCTAGCGTGAAAGAAAAAATTATCCAAGCTTATTTTTTTTCTGCCTCTAGGAAGATATTAACAAGCGAATCTCGAAATATTTGAATACATTCAAGGGACAAATTAATGTACTTTTTATCTGCAGTAGTCAAATAAGAGTAATGTTTGCAATGTATGCACACACAAGCAGAACGTGATGCGCAGAAAAATTACACCATTTTGTACCGTGGTTTTAATTTTGCAAGTATACATTTCAGTGCAGAAATTAAGTAAACAATGCACAATTTAGAAAATATAGTAATAATATTAAACCACACAAGCTTATATATTAGCATATATAGGAAGCTCTGCAGCCCTGCGAACTGAAAGGACTCAATACAGCAGCAGCCAACATCCTTGACAATAAGGCACTTAAGCAACACTGAAGGATTCTGGGAAGGACAGCAGCTGTGGTCTGAATGACACTTCTGCAGAATCTCTGAGGACTCTGAGGATTAAAAAAATAAATAAAAGGGCAGTGTATTATTCTGCCATGCCCGGCTTTTAAAGCTATCTTTCCCCCTCTATGTAACAAATCAGCGGCAAGTCAGACTATTGTTTTTAGGTGAAAGTTCTGTATCATATACTCTACAAATGAATCCTAAGGATTCTTACACAAAGTCAATGTTTCAAAAATACAGCGAAAGTAACTTGTGAACAGGACAGAGGTTTGCACATTATTTTACGAGTCAGTTATGCAACTGTGTCGTTTTGTTCCCCGGCAATTTTTTTTTCTCATGGTCATTTTACTCTTCAAACTCCGTTGGCTTATTCCGCGTCTGTGCATAAACATGAAAAATCTGATGAACTATGAAAACTGACACAGACGCAAGCTGGCAAATCCAAAAGCCGCTGTCCCTGCCGAGCCGTGGCCCGGTTCCCACATAAGACCCTGGCAGACACACTGTGTGTGGGCTTGCTTGCTGCTTAATTGATAAACTCAGTACTAGGTGTATATATGGGCCAATAATACAAGGAAGTTATCTGGGGAGACGTAATCTAGGAAACTAGCTAAGTGCATGGAGAATTATTACTACTGCTGACAGTTAAACTACAGCAAAGATCCACATTTAATTCCCACGCCAGGTTTTACGGTTGAAAAGAGGTTTTCAAGTATGATATTAAATTAGCAGGGGAGATGTAGCTGAGGTCATAGAATAAGCAGATGCTGCCAGGCCAGATGCTGTGAAATCTGTGTTCAGTATTTCCTCCGATTCCCCTCATGGTTCCCTGAACATTTTCTGTGGGCCCACTTTGGCCCATACAGATGTCTGCACCACTGACCTCGCCTGGGTCTGTTGACTCATCATGTCGCTAATACTGCATTCAGCCATCTTCCGGAAAACTCCTCAAATATGTCCCTGCTGGACCACGAAAAGCAACGGTGCCAGGAGCTAGGTGGGGGGGGAGGAGTAACAGATACAAATTTAAATTTGCTGAATAATTAATTTTCTACCTGGATATGTGCGGAATGCCAATGCAAGCCTGCTATCTGCAATGGCACTCACCAGCTGTAAGGTTTCAATGTGAGCTCATTTGGAAGACTGCTCTCTGTATGATCAGGGATCCGCCCAGCGAAAACTCACTACCGGGAAACCGCGACTGAATGTTATTCTGACAGAAGCAACGTATAAATGGAACCTGCCTGCGGGAACTTTCAATAATTTCTTCTGTCAGACTTTGCGGAGGCTTATTGTGACCATAATCCAGCGGGAAGCAGGCTTTAATGGACTGAAACACTAACCAACCGATTCTGCTCCCAACTGAGATATGTCTGCATCTCAAATGCAGATGCTTGCTTTAAAGGTAGTAATGGAAGACATGGTGTTAACACCTCAATGGGTTATCATATTCTGTCAAGTATCAGGCTGGTTTAATGCTTCCCAAGTTTGTAACTTGACAGTGCATGATAATACCATGTCAAAGTCTCGTTTCTTACATCACAGCTGTCACGTCTGGCCCTAGACAGAGAATTCTCTGAAGCTCTGCAAAGCCACAAAAAAAAAAAAAACATGCCCGTGAACCCTGACTCTGAAATGCATGCGTGGTGACGGCTTAAGTAAGCGCCGGTAAATTGCATATACTCCCCCGCCACTTTTTTCTAAAAGCCGGCGATGCAAAGTGTTATGGGTACAAAATGTGATATGGCTGCACTATAGAGCCCGTAATGATCAGTAACCGCATTAGTGACGTTCACGAGCTCAGATCCGCTCCTGACACATTTTCCATGCTTAGACAGTGATGATCCATGACCACATATAGTGTTTCTCATGTCGTCTTCCGACGCTATTAAGGCAGAGTTCGGTTTCAGTGTAGATTCAGTAGCTACACAATCAGGACCGCAATCATTTTCATATAGAATGTTCTATATGTCATCGTTGTAATATGTCATAAAGGTTGATCTATTTTCGTTTGCTTGTTGTTTGAAAGGTGGTTAATTTAAATGTTTAATATTTATTAGGACATCTCCCACAAGTATTAAAGCCGAACATGATTAAACAGTAACCTGAAGAGATCATTAAACATTACTGAATAGTACGTACGCAACGCAAGCCCGTCCAAAGGAAAATTATTGTAACACATTGTAGAAAACCGGCACAAAACTTTCTGCATGTAAAGAGTATTTTCCAAGTAGATTGAAAGAGCGGATTTTCACCAGATAGCCTGCTTTTTCTATTAATATGGTTTTTTGGTGTGCTTCCTTCAGGTGTGTCCAAAATACATAATAATCGATACATGGACCGAAATGCGCTACAAGCGCGACACCTGCAGGTAGTTAAGGGTACTGCACGTCATAAGGATTGTTTAAGCCCCGTCAGCGGTAGGGAAAGCAATTAAAAAGCGACCACGTGCTACCATTTTACCATGAGACACAAACCCTGCGCAATCAAGGCTTTCGACATTTTTTCCAAGAGCTCATTAAAGGGTAAAACAAGTTTGCCAATTACTTTGAAACGCCGCGATAAATATCCTAATCACATCCAACTTTGATTTGCTAATTAATAAATTAAAGACAATACAAAAGCAGATTTCGTTCTAGAGAAGTTGGACAATCGTTTGAAACTGTCACATAGGTTTGGCAGCTTAAAAAAGCAGCGTGTCATAGAAGGTTAGCTATTTTTTCCCCTTTGTAAGCAAAAACATTCGTACATCCGACATATACTACACATAAACTTTGAAAAATTTGATTTTTCAGCTTCGAGCAATGAGCAATAACGTTGCAAAAAAGAAAGGAAAGGCTCCCGGGGACAGGAAATCGTCTAAGAAAAAGGTGAAGAGAAGGGAGACCTATTCGGTGTACATCTACAAAGTCCTGAAGCAGGTATTTACTGATAAGACTGCTGTCGAATTTACGTAGCTACGACGTAGCCTATTTAAAATCCTGCATTAACCTGCACCTTAAGGTTCACCCGGATACCGGCATCTCCAGCCGGGCCATGAGCATCATGAACTCCTTCGTCAACGACGTGTTCGAGCGGATCGCCACCGAGGCGTCGCGCCTCACTCAGTACAACAAGCGCTCCACCATCACCAGCCGGGAGGTGCAGACCGCCGTGCGCCTGCTGTTGCCGGGGGAGCTGGCCAAGCACGCCGTCTCCGAGGGGACCAAGGCCGTGACCAAATACACCAGCTCCAAGTGAAACGCCGGCATCCGGCATACTTTCGCACTTGTTTGACTTTGGCTCTTGAAATAAAAACATTCTCAAAACCCTCAAGGTGGTAAACTGAGTACTTGGATATAATTAGATGGAAGGTCCCATTGGAAAGATGGCTTACCGGTTCTGGTGTCATCAGACTTTATAAATGTCGAGGAGTATCTTTAGAATCGTCTTAACACAATGGAATGTGGTTTGATTCCTCTTAACTTTTGTTTTGCCGTTTAAAATATTTATTAGAAAATTCTATGGAAGCCGAGGGAGTTACCGTGTGGGAAACTGAAAGCACCTCCAAATGGGTTCCCTTGTTCTCGTTGACATTAAGGCACTTACAAAGCACCTCTCACCGCCCGGAAAAGTGATTCTTTCCCCAGGACAGGTCTCGGTGTTGGGGGGCAGCGGCTCATATTGGTTTTTGAGTGTTTCTGTAGGTCTGATTGAATTGTTGTTGATAGAGCTTCAAAAACAAGAGACTGACTCATACACCAAGGCTTCTGAAGATTTACCCCGAGTCAAACAAATACTGTAAGTCATCTCTGGATGCACTTGTGTTTTCAGTATGACCACAGGCTCATGAGTATTTGGAGTTAAGCTGGATATTCAGCCCAACTAATGTAGGAAGATTTACATTTTACAAAAACGTAATGATACTTTTATCCAACATTTTGATATAACTGTGATTATAATTCAGGTGTCTTTTTAATATCAGGCATTTCTATCCCAGATTACATTTTTACAGCTGGATATCTCACAGTAAAGTTTGACAAATTTTTGGTCAATCGCTGGGTTGCCCTTCTATGCCCATCATGTCCTTAAGCAGAATGTGCAGACATTAAAGGATCAATGCAATGGCACGCTTCTGATTCAGGGCTATGTTGCTGTTTAATGGAAGCAAACTGCACTTGATGAATCACACACTGTTCAAGTCTTCCAAAAATGAGCTACCAAACATCAAAAGATTAATTTATATGACTTTATATAAACTATCTCTACCACTTTTACAATTAGGCTCCCCTTATAAATGGTAGTAACTCATTACCAAAAAATTGGTCTATTAATCATTTTCAAAATGTTACAACCTAAGTAATAACCTGATTATAAACCTTTATAAGGGCAGTCTATAGTAAAGTGGTATCATAATATCAATATTGTTTATCCATTTCCTTTGGTAACAATAAAAACTGCATATTTCAATTTGTGATTGAAGGTTCAACACAGCTGGACAAAGTTAAGCCTGGTTATGTTGGAGATTATCTGGGATAGGCAGATTAGTTAGGATTGACTGCTTGGTACTTTTGCAGAAGGAAGGTCTCCCGGGAAACAAATCCCTTTTGGTCACAGATCCTCTGCTGTGGTGGAACATGACAGTCCATTGCTGAGACACTTAACATAAAGTAATATTATTTTGCTATTTTAAACGCAATCAATTTACATAATTGGATGTTTATGGGAGCAATTCAAGTTAATTTCTACAAACGTGCTACAACTGCTGTTATCAGAGGTGAATTAGATGATCAGTGTTGACGCACCACAACAAAATGTGTCCTCTGCATTTAACCCATATGTGATATCATGGCATAGCAGGGGGCAGCTAATTCAGCACCTGGGGGTGGTACCTTGCTGGTTGGAGATTCAAACCAGCAATTTTTCAATTACAAGGGCACTTCCCAAACCATTAAGCCACCACTGCCCACTGAACTCAGTCACTGACAAAGGTCCAGATCCTGAAAAACTACACCATCTACTGCTGTCATCATATTAAATCTTTGGTGTAAAGAGGCACCATAGCACAGAACAATGCACTAATGAACATAGCTTAATGACATAGCCGTGTGTGTCAAAACTGTATTTGGTAATATAACCCTGTGGTCCTACATAACAGGCACAGGCCTGCATTGCAGCTGCTGACCGAGGCATGGCTGTTTGTATGGGAGGCACACTCAGACTGAATGAGCTCCCGATATGATGACGCTAGGATGCTGGGATCCCAGGAGGGAAAAGTGCAATTTCCCAAAAGAAACATGCATATGCTATATTTCCTGTAAATGTAGTGTACTGCATAGTACAATGCATGCATCAGTCCATTCCTTAATTTATCTCTGATAAGCACTTTTGTTGGGGGTTCTATGCTGATCCACAGAAAATCGCAGGACGCTAGACAGTGGAGTCTGGATGAGATGTCAAGTGGCATAAACACTGCCAAAGACTAAATATAAAGTAGTAAATATATAGTTTATACTGATACCTTGTATAAGATTTTCACGAATCACATATTTATTGTGCACTATTTCTAAAAGGTTTCTTTTTTTTTAAACAAACAAACAAATAAATAAATAATAAAGCTTTTCAGTAGTTTCACGAGACAAGCCGCAACGAGATTTATTCTTTATAAAAAAAAACTGCATTATTTTAAATTGTCCACCAGAGGGAGCTATTGCTTAAGCGGTACAGTATTAGAAGTTACACTTTTATTTCCATAGATGAGAGGGAATTTCTTCTAAAATGATAATATGTTCGTTTGGTTGATTACCAAATTAGTTGATTACTTAAATATCCATGCTCCCCATGCAGGCACCTTGAACAGAGAGTTGGTGCCTTTTAATGAAACATTTCTCCTGGGTATTAGAATCATCGACTGAAATCTAGTTGGAGCGTGTGTTCCCGACGACTTGTCAATATTCTACAGATCACAAATATCAATGCCCAGTGCATTTATTATTAATTATTCTATGCCAATCTATGTGCTTTTTAAATGTTATTTATTTTATTTGCATTATTTCTATTTAAAAAGATGGCTTATGGGAAATGAATCTGTTTCATGAATCCAGGCAAGTAATATAATGAATTTTCATGACTTTTTAAAATAAACTTTTGCTATTTTGTTATCACTCTAAATATGACGAACAACATAAAATGCAGGGAATTGTTGGCTTGCCTTTTAATATTGAATATTGCTGGCTCTGAACTCTTTGTTCCATGTAGCTGTTACAGCACAAGGCTCAGAGCCAAGCTGGTGACAGTAAATGAGATCAAATAAAACTGAACCTTGATTGTATTTCTGGTGAACAGAGTCATCATATCAGCAGCTGTTATCTACACAGCAAAACACAGGATTGTGTGTCATTAAAACCGAACAGTCCTGTGTGTGATGTATTTAAGGTACACTGAAGGCAGCTCACAGACACTGGCTTGTACGGTTTATTTGTGTATTTATATTAATCCCACCACAAAAAAATCGCATTAAAAGGCACATTTGGAAGATGGAAGGATGGATGGACCAGTTTGATTTTTAATCCCTTAGAAGGAAAACTCACTTTTTACAGGATCGGGGTACAACTGAGCAATACATGAGATCTTAATGTCATTTTTAATTGTATGTATTAATCTAGCTTTCTAGCTGAACTGCATTCAGAAAATGATGCACACTGAGCCTATTGTGTGACATGAAATAATAGGTGACTGCAGCGCGTTCAGTATGAATATACCTTTTCTTTTACAGTTACATTTTTCTAAACCCATGCTCTCTAACATTTATGACTACCAATAAATCACAAATTTACGGTTATTATTTTTTTTTTAACATCTAATAGCAAAACGTAAAAATGCAAACCAAATAGACTTGTATTGATTTTCACCACAAAGATATCTGTCTGTAGACAAAAATTAGTAACAGATTCAAGATTCATCATAATTAAAATAATATTTTATCTCTTTATACTGCATATTCGTAGTCTAGATTTTGTAGATTGGGTGTAAACAGCTTTGAGGTTCAAAACCTGATTGATATCACACTAACCATGTTTGTTATCCTAAAATCCCGAGAAATGCTTTCAGCTTTACGGTGAATCACAAAAGCATGTACTGACATCATCTCCACTAATTAAGCCATCGAGAGGTAATTGATTGCAAACTAATATGCCAATTAATTTATCGTGCAAGAATAGTTCTGGTATCCGTAGTACTACACACGGTATTTCATTCGGCCTCTTGTGTTCCGGCAGGATCTGTCATTACGGTTCCGAGTCAATCCCACGCGTGCGACTACGCACGTGAGGCAGTTCCACACAGGGGCCAAACGGGTGTCGCCCATATTAGACATTTAATGAGTCTCAATTATGCATATCTTGATTCCGTGTTTATTTTGCTGCTGAATAATAGCAAATGTGACGCGCGACATAACATAATGTTCTGATTAGCACAAGATCTACACTGAGTTTAATCTAATCATAAAATGCGTGTTCTTTGTATAGCCCCTGATTGCTGTATAATACGCCTAACGAGTTGTAATGATCAAATTCAAGTAAAGATAACCAAAAGGAACTGATTGCCATTTTTCTAATTAGTCTAATGTTTTTATTTTTTCGTACTTGTTTTATTATACATTTACACCTCATCCTTTCATATGTCGTCAGACCAGAAAGTCAAATATCTTTCGTTAATGTGTTTGGTCGTCGACCCCCCTTCGGCAACTTTAATGACGTTCTTCTTAATTTTTTTTTCAGATACTGCGATAATGATACGTCTATAGATATATTACCGGGGGTATGATAGAATCATTAATGATGGTATTTTAAAAATTATCATCTTGAACATTTTGTCGGGTTCCTGCCCCCCCCCATTGTTGTCTCTTTTTGAAAGAGTGTTATAAACCCATTATGGATGGATACATTAGTGAGTGATGTGCGGACCGGCCTCGCGTTGTTTTGGTGTGAGAGTGCATCATTACAAAATGTTCCACTTGGTAGGGAAGCGCGTATTAAATGCACTCGCAATGAAATGAGGTCGTGATAGATTGTTAAAGTTATAGAAAGCTATTAGGTTGAAATATGAACCTCTCAATTGTCATAATGAAGCGGCGGGCTATTTGCGCGGCGATCAGTGCGTTAGGAGACAATTGGAATCCGTAATGACAGACGCGATACATTACAGGAAGGCGGTTTAAGGCTTTAAGGTAGGAGAAAAGTAATATCTGCGAAGAATGTTCCTGAGCTTCCATTAACCTACAGTTCAGGCTGTGGGAACTACTCATTTTAGCGACCTATCTGAGTTTTTGCATGGGG